CCCCAAAACCCCAAAACCCCATGAGTGAAAATTTACAGGCTAGGCATGTTATAATATATTTGAAATCAATAATCAGCATTATTTTATTAAAAGTTATATTATTAAAGGATAATTTTAAAGCAATTATGTAAATGAGAGCTAAAAATCCTACGATTTTTATATTAAAGATGGCTTTGCTAGTTGCCTCATTGATTTTTAACTTATTCTGATAAGTTTAGGCATGTAATTTATAATTCATTTTCTCAATATATTCAAAACTTAGACAAGGAATAAAGTCTTGCTGGAACAGCAGGTGTCTATTTTTCTTAACTTGCTTCAAATTAAGTAGATTCGGTAAGTAATCTATCTTATCTATAATCAATGTTTTTAGTTTACTTTGAATCTCTGGTATAATGTGCTAATAGCACCTCAACTCACCAGAAAAATATTGTTTATTTAAAATGTGGTGACTATGACAATGGATAATTCCTTCAAAATTTCTCTCAGCTCACTATTCGACGCCTTACCTTCTCCATCAAACTATGTCATTAGTGGAAAATTTAACATGTGGTTTAGAATTGGTATAGTTGCTTCATCTCAAAGCGCTATGTTATATTTCAATTAAGATACATTCTCCTATACATTAAATAGGACATCTTTTAAAAGAGTAAGTTTAATGATAAAAAATTTCATACTCCATCCTAAACTTATCATGCTTTATTTTACTATTTGATCAGTTGAAACTTAAAACATTTATAGGACACATCACTAGATTAATACGTTGGCGGTGAGATTTACTCTAAAATAGAGCTATCTATGAGAGATTTTGCCTTTTGGCACAATTTTATGCTAAGCAATAATGAAATGAGTGAGCTTTTTCATTAGTAAGCTTTTTGATATTTCTCAATCTTTCTATTTCTTCTAATAAACACAAACTTGCAAATACTAATACTCATTTCAATAGATTAAATGGGATTCAAGTTTAAAAAGCAAAACTTACAATGTATTATAACTTGAAATCGTATTTCTCAGGCTACAGACCCTACGATCACATTAACCCTGATTATCAAGTATATCTTAAAACAGGTTATATAACTGCTACACCACAATCTTAAGATTCCTTGCTCGAATCTTACTTACTATACCAGAGGAATATAAATTGCAAGGAATATAAAGAATATACAGGCACAGTGCATAAATATAATGCATTTTCACTTGAAATCAGAGATACCATAGTACTTCCTCCTTTGCCCTCAGTCAACTAAAAATTGAAAGGTTTCTCTATAGAGTTATGGTATCTGTTGATTACTGACCCCAACAATATCTTCAGTTTGGTTAGTAATTAAAACAGTATAGGGTAAAGCGGTTTATAAACTTAAAACTTTGCCTTAAATATTGATAGCGTTACTATTTCAGAACAATTTCTTTCATTTCATTTGTGTGGAACTTAAGCTTTAAATATTAAGATCTCAAAATGTTCTAAAGCATGGAACTATGTCGCAATAATTGTAGGAGAAGGTAAGATTTATCTATCATGTTATAAAAGAACATATTTTTAGATAAGATTCAATTTGAATATGACTGTATTCAATCCTTTGCTAATACTTACGCAGAAAATACTTTGAATTTACCACAGACTTGCCAATTTTACGATCCTACTAAAAATATTTTCTTACGAGTTGTAACAACAGATGACAAAGATCTACTAATTTCAATGAGGGAGCTAAAAATTTGGTAATACTTTAATTTTCTTGTTAATTCACTTATCTATCAGGACTTAGAGGAAGTTGTTGAGTGACATGCTTTATTATTACAGGGCTTAGATTGATTCTTATAATTTCCCTTTTCTAATCTCTTATTGGAAACTAGATTATGATGCAATAGATGCACAATTGCTCACTAATTCAGCTTTGAATCATATTGGGTAATTTACTTTAACTATTTTATTTGCTAATTCAATAATTCTAGACAAAAAGATTTAAGCAACATTAATGACAATTGGTTTAATACAGATATCAAAGCATTCTTAAAATGCTCTCCTGAAGGCATTTACAACTGTTTAAATGAAAAAGGTTTTTAAGATCTTACTATCAATTTCAAATATGGATTAAATCAAGGAATAGGTAAAATACTTGCTGTTAAAATTC